CATTTTGGTTTCAAATGATACCAACTCTGTTGCTGAAGGACAGGAGAGTTTGAGATATGTGGACTTCAGCTCCCAGAATTTGGCTGGGGAATTCTGGGAATTCTGGGTCTGCAGGTCTTAAATTGTCCAAGGTTGGACACCCCCCCCTGCTGTGGGAGAACTGATGGATCTTGGAGGATGGATGGATGGATGGATAAACTCAGTTTCTTGTGGCCCAAGAACCAGTGGTGGATTAAGGGTCGTTGGTGCCCTGAGCACTGCCAAATCTTGGTGCCCCCCCCCCTCCTTTGTACATACTGTACAAATCTTCATTGTTTTTGTTTTTCCCTTTCTCAACTTTGTGGGCCTGGTGCCCTAAGCATGTGCCTAGCCTGCTTCATGGTCAGTATACCAAGCAGCCCCTTTCGCCTCCAGGGTTCTGCTCCTGAAACGTTGGTCGACAAGGCTGGAGATTGGGAGGGGGAGATTGGCAGCTCAGACCCTCTTGCCTGACATGGACCCCCCCCTCCCCTTTCCCTCTGCTTTCTTCCAGATGAGGAAATCAACCACATGAAAGGGGAGCTGGAGAAATACGGATTGCAGCTTCCCTCCTTCAGCAAAATCGGTGGCCTCCTGGCTAAGGAGCTCTCGGTCGACGAGGCAGCCGGTACGTGCCGATTGCTGTCTGATCCATGGGATCTGCTGCTCTCCTCCCCCCACCCACGTTAACCCGGCTTCTCCCCTCCAGTGCACGCTGCCATCCTGGCCATCAACAACGCGGTGGAAGTGGGGATCGTGGCAGAGACCGTGGCGGCTTTGTGCAACCCCAGCGCCATGCTAGTGGGTGTGCAGGAGAGTTGTGGGGGGCCCTACCAGGAAGAGCTCTGCCGGGCCAAAGGAGAGAAGGCTGAGAACGCAAAGAACCGGGTAAGCAGAAGCACCGTTTCTTCCATCACACCCCTGCCGCCCCCCCACCCGCTACCTCTCCTCCCTGCTCAGTGGGGCTTCGCTGCTTGCAGAAGGGAAACCAGACATTTGCTGGTGATCCGAGGCAGCCTCCTGGGGCTCAGGTGTGGAAAACTGCTCAGGTGATTTCAGCTCCCATCCCTGATTATGCCAATGGGAAAATGCGTGCCAATGTGTAAATGGGGAATGCAAATTAGCCATTGCATTTTCCTCCCCTCTCCCTGGTAAGCTCCGAGAGAGGGGCAAACGGGTGGTGGGATGAATCCTGCCTCCCTCAGGGCAGTTTCTCATCCCCTGATAATTCTCTTTCATTCGTTTGGAACGATTCTGGAGGGGGCAAAACGCCCCTGTGGACCACCCGGCTTTCCCTTTCCTTGTTCCCAGCATCTGCAGAAGATCCCGGATGGAGAAGACATTTATGATCACTGTTTGACCCAAGCGGAAATTCAAGGCAGCATCAATCTGGTGAACAGTGAGTAGACCAGGACGTGGGTTGGAACCATAAATTACGCTAAGGAATTCTGGGAGTCGGTCCATCCATCTTCAACTTGCCCAGGCTGAGAAACACTGGCCCAGACCACGGTTTGGGTTCTTGAAGGCCCTAACCTTGGCTGGCTCCCTTTTCCCATCCTGCTTTGGGGTGGACTTGGAGGAATGTTGGTTATTACTGACCTTGTCTAGGTGTATTTACCCCTGTAATATGGCTGTAGCACTATTATTTATCATTATTATTATTATTATGTTGCATTGCATGTATGCTGAGAGCAAATT